TCCGACACCTCCAGCACCAGCTCCGTGCTGCTCCACAGCGCCGGCCTGCCCCGGTCCCGGGCCACCACCGTCACGCGGTGCTCGGACGCCTGCTCGCGGTCCAGCGGTCCCGTCGTCACCACCTTGTACGAGCCGCCCGACGACGCCACGATCGACAGCGGCGCCTCTCCCGACAGCTCGCACGACACCTGACCGTTCTCGCCCGAGTCGGGATCGCTCACGTACATGAGAGCCACCACCGCCTCTACTGGCGCGTCCTCGGGCAGCGGATTCGACACCGAGAGTAACGTGATCTCGGGCGCGTTGTCATTGACGTCCAGCACCTCCACCTCCACCTTGCAGTGCGCCACCAATCCGCCACCGTCCCTCGCCTCCACAAGGAGCGCGTAGCCTCGCGTGTCCTCGAAGTCCAGTGTCTCCTGCAGCGTGATCGTCCCGCTCTCGGCATCCACCGTGAACTTCTGAAGCACCTTTGCCGGCATTTTCCCGAAGCCGTAGGTGATTTGGGCGTTATTGCCGGCATCCGCATCGGAGGCAGAGATGTTCAGCACCGTTGATCCCGGAGGCGTGTCCTCGCGCAGGCTGACGCGGTACCGATCCTGCGCGAACACGGGTGGGTTGTCATTGGCGTCGGTGACGTTGATCCAGAGCTGGGCGGTGCCAGTCCGGGGCGGGTCTCCGCCGTCCAGCGCAGTCAGCAGCAGACGCAGACTATTCTCGCTCTCTCGATCCAGCGCGCGGCGCAGCACCAGCTCCGCGAACTTGCTGCCGTCCTGGCTCTCCTTCACCTCCACCGCGAAAAACCCGTTGGCCTCCAGCACGTAGCTCTGCAGTGAATTACTGCCCACATCCGCGTCCTCCGCCACACCCACGGCAAATCGGGCGCCAGGAGGTGTAGATTCAATAATTTCAAAATGGATGTTATCCTTAAGAAAGCGAGGCGCGTTGTCATTCACGTCCTGGATGTCCACTTGGATGTGGAAGACATTGAACGGGTTGTGCACCAGCGCCTCGAAGCTGACCGAGCAGGTCGCCGACTCGCCGCACATCTCCTCCCGGTCCAGCCTCTCATTCACGTACAGGTTCCCGTTCTCCTCGTTCACCGTGAAGTATTGCTTCTCCTCGCTCAGCCGCAGCTTGCGCGCCGGCAGCTCGTCCGCGCTGAGCCCCAGGTCCCGCGCCAGCGGCCCCACGAGCGAGCCTCTGCCCAGCTCCTCGGGGATGGCGTAGCGGACCCGCTCGGCCGCCGCCCGGCCCCACACGCACAGCAGCACCGCGGCCAGCAGCGCTCGCCCGCCGCCCGGCCCGCGCCTCTGCCGCCGCCTCACCGCCATTCTCTGCCCGCAGCGCTCGCCGCGCTCCTGCCTCCTGCCGCTGCCCTGCCTCCCTTCCAGCCGCTCTCGCCGGCGACAACAGAGACCGCTCAAACGCAGCGAGCTCGGCGCGCCGCCGCTCTCCGCCTCTCTCCGCCGCCGCCGCTGCTGCTGCTGCTGCTGGCGGTGCCGCTGCCGCTGTGGCCGGCGCCGGGCGAGCGAGCAGCCTGCGGGGGCAGGACGCTGCGGCGGCGGCGGCGGCGGCTCCAGCGCCGCTCGGCGGCGGCCAACAGCGACACCCGGAGGCGCCGCCGCGCCACTGCAGCCGCCGGAGGGCCGCGCCAGCGCGGTCTCGCCCCGGGCCGCACCGTTGGCCGCTCACCTCCATCAGCTACCGAAAAGCGCGAGTCGGAGTTCAACTTGGCGAGTTTTTTCATACTCGCTGAAAGGGGAACAGAGAAGCTGTGTTCAGAATCAAAAACGCAGAGCCTGGCTTGGGAACGTGTAGTGGAATAGTGGAGGATCACGCAGACTTCGTACAAGGGATCACAGGTGAGTACAGGTAAGTACCAGCAGGTACAGTGTGCATAAAATGCCTTGCAGATTTCTATCCCTTCTATTGCTGCTGTGGGCTCTCTTTACCCAGATCTTTTATTTAATTTCTACCATCTCTGTGAAGCAACGTCTACAAAATACTTGGGAAGCGAAGCTTTTTGTAGAAAAGGAGCACCAGAAGCAACATCTTTCTGGAGATTCTTGTTTATATTCCTTTTATTTTATATCCCTCTCACTGTAACTGTGACTGGGGATAAATGGCAAGTCTTATTCTCTAGAACAGCATTATCCTTTCATGTTCCCAGTTTTACAAATCATGGAAATTACCAAGTTTCTTGTCCTAGAACTGGGAAGAATGACCTGGTAAATCATTTTTTCAAAAAGCTTTTTCAGTGAACAGCTTAAGTACGTAGATCTAAGAACGGGGACAGACTGAAAAATGTATTTATGCTCCCAGGATACTTCAGTTACCAGCGTGCTGAATTTTTTACTCTGAGAATTGTAAAAATGAGGGTTAATACTCCTCTTTGGTGATACCTGAGGCATACATGACATGTCAGGTACTTTTCCAGGACAGAGACTTCGCGATAAAAAAAAACAACCCAAAAAAAAAAAAAAAAAAAAAAAAAAAAAAAAAAAAAAAAAAAGAAAACAGTCAGAAGAAGGAATCTCACAAGGGCACAACTAGAGAAGGCAGTTTGCTGCAGCTGAAACACCCTGACATGTCCTTTGCCATGATAAAACACTGAATGCTCCCAGCGTGGGATGGTCTGAAAACAGAAATGATGAAACACTCTTGAGAGCAACGCCTATGAAAAAAACACTTGATCCTCCTCGGTGCCTGTTTGTGCTGACACCACCTCTCTGCAACAACCAAAGGAAAACAAGAAATACAAAACTCTCCACAAGCCAACAGCTCTTGTTTCATGACTTGTAGAAAGCAGGGCATGTTATCATCAGCTGAACCATTCCAAGCGCTACCCAAACCAAGTTTTGGGAAACTACAGGTACAGCAGATTTTACTAACACTCCTATTGCTCAATAAATAACTCCCTGAATTGTTACTGTGCTCATTCACAATGTCCTGGTGATAACTCAGTTCCCAGTTATGCCACTCTTGCCACTGTCTCAGAAGAAACAAAGACAGAAACTACAAGACTCAGGTTTTATCTCTTCTTCTGCTGTAGCAGTTATTAGGAAATGATCACTCGGCCTCAGCATTGCTGTGACAACAGGCTCTTCCTCTGCAACAAGAAGCAGCCACACTCTGGCTTCAGAAGAATACTGAGAAAGTATTTTAAGTAGAATCTCACCCTTCCTCACTCTTTGTTGTATTACATAAATTAGACACTGCTTTCAAGCTTTCAAATAATTAGCATTAAGTGAACACTCTGGGTTGTATGACAACTACAATAAATACAAAACCAGATGACTGATTTTTGGAAAAACCTTCAACCAATAAACAGTTCACAATGAAAATACCTGTGCATGTCTAAGAGTCCAAACGTGTGAGCAATGCTGTGATCGAGAAATGAGCATTGGCAAATGAACTTTGGCACATTAGGACCTGCTGTCGCTGCACCCTCGGCTACAGCACCATCTCTCTGAAAAAGGCACAATGGCAAAGAGTAAAATAGAAAAAAATTGTCCATAGAACAGCAACAATCCTTCAGAAATAAATTTTGGTTTTGCAGACGCTTCTCATGAACAATCAGGTAATTCTCACAAAATCATTCCAGGTGCAGTAACTCTGGATTGTGCTCACCGGCTGCTAAGGACCACAGAAAGCATAAACAACATATATAACCAGTGATGCATTAAGAATATACACAGCACTCTTCCTCCTACATTGCATCGACTTTAAACACTTGGCATGGAAAGGTCCAGTGCTGCTACACGAGAGAGAACAACACAAAAGAAGACTTAAGGTGATGTAAAAAGCACAAACGAACAACCATTCACACAAGCTTATCTCGACTTTCCTTGCCATGCCGTGCCACCTGTAACACATCTCAGCAGAAATCTCCACAATACACTCTAATTTCTAGATATTACCCGTAGTTTGAAGGCATAGCAAGAGGCTTATGACCTCTAATCTGAACCTTCTGTCTGGGAACATCCAGTTCTTCAGCTCCATCTTTGCAGGAGCACAGTGATGACGCCCAAGGTGAAAAACCAGTGTTAACATATATAATTCAGATTTACAATATTAGCAAAAAGTAATTGTGCTACTCTTCCACCATCTCTACTGATTCCCAAGCATGAAGCACACTATTTACTCAACCAAAGAAATTCCCGCAAGCAAACTCAAAAAATGCCTGGAAAAAACAGAATGCTACAAAAATTTGACATTGCTGCAATTACTGGATGAGGAACACTCAATGAGGCCCTTTCAAAACTCAGCAATGTAACAAACACAAAACAAAGCAGGCAAATATGGGTCCACGTTCAAATTCAAACAATGGCTTACATATATCCTAAATACTATTTACATAAAAGGAATATGGAGAGAGTGATAATTAAGTAGACCAAACACAGACTAGAGAAAAGTGCTGCAGTTAAAAATCAATACTAAGTGTAGTTCATACTCTGTTTTAAATTATAATAAATAATCTAAAAATATAAGACGAGGGGGTACCATATTCACGAGCAAATAATGCAAATAAAGATGCGGAGAGGTGGGGAAGAAAGAAAGAAAAAAAAGATTGCATACAAAACAAAAAATACTATCGCGAACTTCAAATTTCTAGACGGGAGCAAAATGTTCTCTCACGCTACCTCAACCAAGTGTGCTGTCGAGAACACAGCTGATACTGACAACAATGCCACCTTCCACTTCTTTACCAAGCAATACAATAGAAGAGCAGACCGAATACTGGCGAGATGACGGGAATTAAAGAACCTGCACTCACAAATACAAAAGCTCCCAATCACAGAATCTCCAGTAGAGAAGAGCTTGATTTCTCCTAAAAACCTCATTAAGTGCAACACTGAGATCCGACTCCTAGGTCCACCACCCGGCAGCAAGGAGCACGAGCACATCTCCCACCGGGGCTATGGCTTACTTGTCAGAATATTTCCCCACTCAGGTCAGAGACACCAGGGGCATAATGGAAGCAGCAGGAGGAAGCGTCACGGACGAAAGTGATCAGAGAAACTCACCGAGGGAGGGGCAGAAGACGCGGGCAGGGCGGCGGCCGGGTCCTCGTCCCCGAGCAGCGGCGCGGGCTCGTCGGGCGGCGGCCGGGCCGGGAGGGTGTCGCAGCAGCTGGCGGCCGAGAAGCGCAGCTGGCTCTTGCGCGAGTCGGCCGTGAGCGACACGTCGTGCGAGTAGGACTGCAGGAAGGCGCGCACGCCGTCGATGCCCACGAAGTGCGACACGGGCACGCCGCGCAAGGCGCCGCTGTCGGACGGCAGCAGCTGCTGGCGGTGCCAGCGGCGCAGGCGCAGCGCCAGCAGCAGCAGCAGGAAGGCCACGAAGAGGCACGACACGGCGGCCACGGCCAGCACGAGCCAGCGCGTCAGGCCGGCGGCCGGCTCGCCCGGCGCCGCCGCCTCGTCGGCCGCGCTGCCCAGCTCGGCCAGCAGCTCGGCCACGCTCTCGGCCAGCACCACGCTGAGCGTGGCCGTGGCCGAGAGCGCCGGCCGCCCGTGGTCCTTGACCAGCACCACCAGGCTCTGGCGCGCCGCGTCGCGGGCCAGCGGCGAGCGCGCCGTGCGCACCTCGCCGCTGTGCAGCCCCACGCGGAACAGCCCCGGCTCCGTGGCCTTGGCCAGCTCGTAGGACAGCCACGCGTTCTGCCCCGCGTCCGCGTCCACCGCCACCACCTTGGCCACCAGCGCGCCGGCCTCCGACCGGCGCGGCGCCAGCTCCACGCCCGACCACGCCGCGCCCGAGCCCGCCGCCGCGCCCGGCGGCGGGTACAGCACCTGCGGCGCGTTGTCGTTCTCGTCCACGATCAGCAGCCGCACCGACACGTTGCTGCTCAGCGCCGGCGCGCCGCCGTCCTCCGCCCGCACCCACAGCTGCAGCTCGCGCAGCTGCTCGTAGTCGAAGGAGCGCAGCGCGTACAGCGCGCCCGTCTCCGCCTGCACCGACACGTACGACGACAGCGGCGCGCCCCGCACCCGCCCCTCCGCCAGCCGGTAGCGCACGCGCGCGTTCTGCCCCCAGTCCGCGTCCGTGGCGCGCACCGTCAGCACCAGCGCGCCCGCCGCGTTGTTCTCCGCCAGCCGCGCGCTGTAGCGCTCCTCCGCGAACACCGGCGCGTTGTCGTTCACGTCCAGCACCCGCAGCGCCAGCACCGCGCTGCTCTGCAGCGCCGGCGACCCGCCGTCGGCCGCCCGCACCGTCACGTTGTACTCCGACACCTGCTCCCGGTCCAGCTCTCTCGCTGTCACCACGCTGTAGTAATTATCGAATGACTTCTCTAGGCGGAACGGGATACCCTCGTCGATCGAGCAGCGCACCTCGCCATTCGCCCCCGAGTCCCGGTCCTGCACATGCAGTAGGGCGACCGTCGTCCCCAAAGGGGTGTCCTCAGAGATCTCACTTAGTGCAGACCTCACCGAAATCTCCGGCGCATTATCGTTTTTGTCTGTCACGGTGATCGTGACTTTGGTAGTGTCAAAAAGCTGTCCTCCGTCCCTTGCCTGCACCTCCAGCTCATAGTAGTTGCCTTCTTCGAAGTCCAGGCTTTCCAACAGAGTGATCGCTCCACTCTCAGAGTCCAGATGGAAGATATTCGATGCCAGGTCGGATACTTTCTTCAAAGAGTATTTAACCTGTCCGTACAGCCCCTCATCAGCGTCGGTGGCGGTTACAGAAACAAGTGCAGAGCCCACGGGCACGTCCTCGGGCACACGCACCGTGTACTCGGCCTGGCTGAACACGGGCGCGTTGTCGTTCGCGTCCAGCACCGTCACGCGGATCCGAGCCGTGCCCGTCCGTGCCGGATCGCCGCCGTCCATTCTTTCTTCCAGCTCTGTTTCCTTGAAGCTGGGCGCGTTGTCGTTAATATCTGTGATTTCCACTTCTATTCGGTATACCTGCATCTGTCCCTCCACTATCAGCTCACAGCGCAGCACGCATTTCTCCACCAGCCGGCAAAGCTGTTCTCTGTCGATCCTCTCCGCCGTCACTAAATGTCCCGTCTTCCCGTGCAGAGCGAAATACTGCGTCCTACCTTTGTCTAAGATATGAATACGGCGGTCTCGGATCTCCGGCAGCTGCAGCCCCAGGTCCTTGGCCACGTCGCCCACGAAGGAGCCCTTGGGCATCTCCTCGGGCACCGAGTAGCGCAGCTGCCCCCACGCCGCCTGCCACGCCGCCAGCAGGACGGCGCAGAGCAGAGCTCGCTGCCGCCGGCCCCGGCGCCTCCCCGCCGCGCACATCTCCGCCGCGGCACCGGTACACCGCTTGCAGCTCCTCGCTACCAAACCAGACAGATCCGGCTCCGACTCTGCTCTCAGCTTCTGCACGGTATTTCAGCCACCGGCTCCTCCGTCTTGCTATAGAACCGCTCTGCACCGCGGATACGCTCGCAGACCTCCCGGCGGCCGAGCCAGACCCCGAGCGAGCGAGCGGGTCCGCAGCGGGCGGGGCTGCAGCGCTCCGAGCTTCCTCCCGCTCCTCTCGGTCAACAGCGGCGCCCGCAGCCTCCGCCCGGCACTGCAGGCACCGAGCGCTGCCCGCTCTGCCTTGCTCCGTACAGGGGACAGGCGCCACGGAGACTTCGCTTTTCGTCCAGCGCCGATCTCCTGCCTCCGCATTTCTCCAGCCGATCTCTGCCTTCATCCTCCAGGGTATCACCATCGGGAGGAAGGCAGAGGCATTCCGTGCGCGTGGTTCTTTAACCGCACGGGAAACTTATCACTTACTCAAGACATTATATGTAAATTAAAACACATATTTCGTATTTTTCCCTGTAGCTTATTGTTAATCTCATCCTTTTTGTTCAAAAGCATCTTCAACAACAGGCTCTCAGAGAGAAAACATTAAGATACCATATCCCGAAAATACAAAGCTATCAGGTTCATTAAAACAAGCGGGACTCCAGGACGGACCAGCACCCCGCGGAAGATCGCTGGCCGCAGGTTCGGGCAGGGAGCGAGCGAGCGATCGAGCGGGTCCGCAGCGGGCGGGGCTGCAGCGCTCCGAGCTTCCTCCCGCTCCTCTCGGTCAACAGCGGCGCCCGCAGCCTCCGCCCGGCACTGCAGGCACCGAGCGCTGCCCAGCGCTGCCTTTCACACGGACAGCTTTCTCAGGCGGCCAAAGTCTTTAGGGAGGCGCATTGCCCAACTCATCGGGCTAATGCTGTCCTTTCTCTAGCCGCCTTACAGAAAAACATGGAATCGCACAAAACTGAACGTCCATTAGGGAACCACTTTTATGTTCCCTCTGGAGTTCAGCAGCGGACCACCAGTAACAAACAGAGAATTATTCAGCAGCCACTCAAGTCCCAGTACTTTGCTTCAGGGAAGATGGATCAGGAAGGAAAAATATTCACTCACTTTTCCCGAGACCACCATGTAATATTGGTCGATTTTATTTTATCGGTTAAGGATCTGTTTGGAACTTCAGTAATTCCCACTATTTCAGGCAACCCAAGCTTTGTAGACAAAATTTTCCCAGTGAACCTGAATGCACCTTATACGACCCAAAAAGTCCTAACAAAACTCGTATATAATTTTCGAGAGCACAACTGAAAGAAAAACCCTCCCCTACACATCTCACAACTGTGAAGCAGGCAGTATCATGGACCAGGCTTATTTCACTGTTCACTGAAACCTGCACTTACACAACTACCTTCCCTCAAAAGAAAGAGGGCACATTGAAAGGGAAGGAGAATTCATTATGAGGGAACGACCGGTCACTTCTCTATTGAGTGATCCATCTCCTCGTACTCACTGGAAAGCTGCCTCCATCATTAGAAACTCGCAGTGTTTCAGATAAGTTTCGAAGACAAAGTTCCTCAGATGAACCTCAGCATGTCGTGAGGAAAAAGCTGCCATCTAAATCTGCCTGCTCTAGGTAGAAAATTAAGGAAAGCAAAATGTAACTCAGAGCATCAAGAGTCCTGCAAGATTTGATGCACCACAAGCTAAAATGTAAGAGACATTACACTGAACCAACAAGTGAGACAGCTGATGAGACCAGAACTGGCTGCGGGCACTGGAGACTGTTAAAGAGACATGGGACAGCATTCTTGTCCAGTGAAACACAGACCTATACGAGGCATACCAAAACACAACCAAAGCCGAAAAGCAGAACGCTGCACGCTCTGAGGAAACACTCAGGAAAGAGTAACCGGGTTTTACAGACCTGCGGTGCATCGGAATTGGACGCCGGCTCTCTCGTGACAAAGTCGCTGCTCGGGCTGGGCTTCTCGCAGGAATCGCCGCCCAGCAGCTCCTCCGCCGACAGGACGGGCACCGGCGGCGGCGGCGGCCAAGCGGCCTCGGGCACGGCGCGGGCCGGCGCCGGCACGCACAGGTTGTAGGAGTAGGGCAAGGTGCCCTCGCAGAAGTCGGCCGGGAAGGCGGCGCCGGCCAGCGAGAAGCGCTGCGCGCCCAGGCAGCGCAGCACGGCGGGCGGCCCGGCCCGGCGCAGCCGCGCCAGCACGGCCAGCGCCACGCTCAGCACCAAGAGCGCCGACAGCAGCGCCAGCGCCAGCACCAGGTAGAACTGCAGCTCGGCCGCCGCCGCCGCCTCATTTGATCATTCTTTCTACAAAAATCTTTTTCCTAACATCCAGCCTATACTTCCCTTGGTGCAGCTTAAGTCTCTCTCCTCTCGTTCTGCCAGTTGCTCCTCCCTTGTCCTGCTGGCCCTGCTATTTGTTATCCAGCCCAGAATGTGATTGACTTCCTGGCCTGCAAGAACTCCCTGCCAGCTCATATCCCATTTGTCACCCACCAGGACCCCAAGTCCTCCTCCACAGGGCAGCTCTCAATCCCCCAAGTTTGTACTGCAAGGGGATTGCCCTGACCCAGGTGTATGATTTTGCACTTGACCTTGTTGAACTTAATGAGGCTGACATGAGTCCACTCCTCCAGACTGTCCGGGTCCCTGGGGATGACATCCCATCCTTCTGCTGAATTGGTGGCACCACTTAGCTTGGTGCCAGCTGCAAACCTGTAGAGAGCACTCTCAATCCAATCAGATGTGTCTCTGATAAAGATACTGAATATATTGGTCCAAGTACAGGCCCGTGAAGACCCCACACATTGGTAGTTTCCAGCTGGGCACTGAGATATTGTCTACAACTCTTTGAACTCAACATGCACTTGGACAATAGGAACAGATGGGACCTTCCATGTGAGGTCAGATACCCTGAGTTCACACTTAAACCAGAAAGCAAGGCAAGAGATTTTTATTGAGCAGAAGCAAAACAATTCAGATGGTACGCATCTAATTTCATTTTAGGAAGTCCTTATCAGGTCTCCTGTGGTTTTCTTCCATAACATGGCCTATTAACTTCCCTACAAATAAAATTCTCTAAATGTAAACACTTTATATTGGGCCTTGTCTGTATACTATAAAAAAAAAATAAGTGAGACCCCTTTTAGCTTTTTGTTCATTTTCTTCACACCAAAAATCCTGGTTTAGATTATTAAAGTTTTTGCTGCAAAACAACCCTTACATCTTCCAATGCAAAATGCCTTTTCTCCAGAAAGAGGGAAACTGAACCATGACCATCCAGGAAACAACGGCCTAAAAGGAAGTGTAATTACACCTGTGAGGAAACCATGTACCATAATGTTCCAGGGACACAGAGGTGGATAAAGGAGGATTCTCACAAGAATCACAAGCCATTCTACTCAGACAGCAATGTTCTAGCTATCCACGTTCTAATATCTCATTGTCAGATGATTACCATTGTCTTTGAAAACAGGGAAATCGGGATCAAAACAAATGGCACAGGCCTTGGCACCACACCTGAAACCAAACCACTGCACACCCAGAAACACACTGGCCCATCCGTGTTCCTCGTTCCAAGCTAGTCCCTCACCCTCCTCACTCTACATTCACAACTTTTAGTTGCACTACAGGCAGTACACAACATTTAGCTGTGTGTCAGTCACAAGCAAAAGAACATGTAATCCAATAACCTTCTTGGAAAAATATAAGCGTATCAAAGCCTTTCTGCTGCTGAACACCTTCATGAGTGAACATGGATGAGAACAACTCCCACCACCTGATAATCTGAACAGATCTCTACTTCCAGGGACTGTCAGCCAAGCCAAGGCCAACTTGTAGAACATAACAAACAAGGAAGGAATAGGAAAGCCACAGAATTCAACAATCACAGCTTAACATTTCAGACTTTGTCAAGTGTAGCATGTACACAAGAAGCACCATCTACCTTGCAAAAAGTACACAGGAGGTTTACATGGGACTTTACACAGGCATGGTTCACTAAGTAATTTGGAAAACAAGAAAAGTGCACACCACCAAAACTATGGGAATAAAAAATAGGGGAAATCGAATGTTTATACCAACCTCCTAGACAGTTCAAACTATACCACAGCAAACTCTTTTACCTGCCCTGTCTCTGTGCAGACAGAAAGCTTCAGTGTGCTCAAACATCACACAACAGAGACAACTTTGCAAACAGACACCATCAGAAGACATGTTTCTTAGTTTCTCACGCAGCTTCTCCTCATGGAGAATAAAGATCACAGATCCACACATAGGAATTTCCCTGCTCACATTCATTACAAGGCACCAGAAATTTTCAAGCCCCCAAACCAGAATTTCCTAACAAAACTATCATCCCATGCCCTACATTCTCCACACACAAACAGCTGAAATCCTAACAAAATGTCATCAGTTACTTCATATGAGCAAGATCCATTAATAACCTCTGAAGGTTGGTCAAGGCTGGGGAAAGCTCAGTACACCTAAGACAAGATTTTACTTCACTGTCTTACAAGGACATACACCTGGAAAAGTGACAGTTCTTAAACACAGAATCTCTGAAGCATGTTCACATTTCCATAGGTATGTCTGCAGACAAATTCATGTAAGTCTGTATCTTTCTGGGATACAGGAAAAGGGGGAATTCTCTAAGTCACACAGTCCTTGGCACTAGGATTGCTGTGAAAGCACGCTGAGCCAAGTGGAACGTGCAATTCCCTCCTTTCCTGCTCTGAGGCCAATCTCTCACTGATCTTCCCACCACGAATATTTGACAAGAAAGAGTATTTCTCAGAGTGATGTTTTGCAGAAAGACATCTATGAAAGTGTTTTTCTTTCCATCTGAAACAGGAAAGGCATGAACAGGTCAGACAGACGACTCTAACAGATGTAATCTTCCACACACTCTCAGAGACAAAGGCCCAGCATTAGCTTATTAGATCAAGCAATACAACAAATTAACAAATACATAATGAAGGGATCATCCCATATAGTTCTAGATTATGCAAATTCCAGAATTTCTTAGGTAGTAAGTGAAGTGTTTGATCTTCCCCAATCGTTCATTATGGTATTTGTAAAAAGTGCATATTTAAGCTGTTAGCTAAGGATTGGTGAAAAGATGCAAATTCATAGGGAGAACCTCCC